TGGAGGGGAAAGGAAAGAAGGAAGGAAGGAAGAGAGAAGAGATGGAGGGACAGAAGGAGGGAAGAGGTAGGTAGGAAAGGAAGAAAGGAAAGAAGGAATAGAGGGAGGGAAGGAGGAAGGAAGAAAGGAAGGGAGAGGGAAGAAAAGAAAGAAGGAAGGAAGGAATAGAGAAGAGATGGAGGGATAGAAGGAGGGAAGGTAGGCAGGTAGGAAAGGAAGAAAGAAAGAAAGAAGGATTAGAAGACAAATCAATAGACAAGACAGCAGGAGAGGAGATTGTCCTATCCAATTTGCCCTGTCGTTCTTCTCCTTGTGAAGCTGAGATTTTGGGGAGGGGGGGGCTGCAAAGTGACACGCCCACAGAGACACCCTCTCCCCTTCCATCTAGGTTTATTCCCCCCCTCTCCTTTTCTTTCCCCCTCCCTCCAGGAAGAGGAAGACGCCAAACCGAAACCCACCAAGCGAAAGCGGAAAGGATCCTCGGCTGTCGGCTCAGACAGCGACTGAGCGGTGGGGGGGGGGCGGTGGCCGTGGGGGGGGGTGGGGTGTCCCGATGGCGGGGACCCACCTCTGCGCCATCTCCTCACCCACCCCCTCAAAGCCGCCCTTCGGGGCAAGGGACTGCCCAGCCACGCGCCCCCCCCCCGGCCCCCCAGATCGAATCAGATCCGGCCAGGCGAACACAAACCGCCGGAGGACGGACGGACGAGGCTGCGGAGGGATGTTGTTCCCCCCCCCCAGCGATGGGTCCTCGGGGTGGGGGGGTGTTGCTCCACCATTGCTGTGCCCCCTCACCCCCCCCCCCAAGCTGTGGGGCGGCACCAGCAGCGACGAAGGGAAGGAGGCCAAAATCCACAAACCAGATCAAGCAATTTTTTTCGGGATGTAAATAAACCTGTGAACTGCCGTGATCTCCAAGTGGTGCTTCTCCCAAGGAAAACTTGGAGTGGGGAGGGGGGGGGCTTCATTTTTGGGGAGGGGGAGGAGGAGTGCTGGGGAGCTCTCCCCCCCCCACTGCCCTCCCCAGGCCTGACTTTCTCTTGTGTTGGCTTCCAATAAAAAGCATTTTATTCTTGCGTTCGCTTGGTCCAGCAGCCGAATGGTTCCCCCCCCCCCCAATTCCAGGTGATTTCCCGGCCCCCTCCCTCCCCATCGCAGCCCCCTCCCCTCTCACAGCCTTCCTCCTCCTCGTCTCCCACCCCCCTTTTTTCCAAAATCCGTTGGGAGGGGGGAGATGGAGAAGGACCAAAAACTCCAGGAACGAAATAAAAGCGTCCTTCCGTTTTGAAACCGTCTTCACCTCCTCCGGCAGAAAACGAGGACTTTTTAAGTGGGTTTTTTTTGGGGGGGGCAGGGAGCGGGGGGGGGGAAGATAATAAAACCTGGCAATTTGGGGGTGTTTTTTTTTTTTGTGTATGTGTAAAAGTCGCTGTTTTGTCTCTTTTTTTTTAAGGGAGCGGGCTGGGCTCCATCTGGGGGTTGCGATGTTCTTTTGTGGGGTTTCCCCCCCCCCCAAATATCCTTTTGACTTTTGCTTGGTGGTATCAGAATTATTTTGTCATCTGTCTATTTCTCTCCTTCCCTCTCTTTTTCTCTTTTGCTCTCTCTTTCGCTCTCTTCTCCTTTCCTCCTCCTTTGTCTTTGTCTCTCCCTCTCTCCCTCTCTTTCATTCTTTCACTTTCTCTCCTTTCGCTCTTCCCTTCCTGTCTCTCCCTCTTTCTCTCTTTCACTTTTTCTCTCCCCTTTCTCTTTCCTCTTTTTTCTCTCCCTCTTTCTTTCACTCTTCTTCCCTTCCTTTCTTTTTTCCCTTTCTCTTTCACTCTTCTCCTTCCCACCTTTTTGTCTCTTTTTCTTTCTTTTCACTTTCTCTCCTTTCACTCTTCTTCCCTTCCTGTCTCTCCCTCTTTCTCTTTCACTTTTTCTCTCCCTTTCTCTTTCCTCTTTTTTCTCTCCCTCTTTCTTTCACTCTTCCCTTCCTTTCTTTTTTCCCCTTTCTCTTTCACTCTTCTCCTTCCCACCTTTTTGTCTCTTTTTCTTTCTTTTCACTTTCTCTCCTTTCACTCTTCTTCCCTTCCTGTCTCTCCCTCTTTCTCTTTCACTTTTTCTCTCCCCTTTCTCTTTCCTCTCTTTCACTTTCCTTTCTCTTTTGCTTCCTCTTTCCCTCTTCTCCTTTCCTCTTTCTTTCTTTGTCTTTTTCTCTCCCTCTTTCTCTTTCACTCCCTTTCACTTTTTCTCTCCTTTCTCTTTCACTCTCCTTCCCTCTTACTTTTTCTCTTTCACTTTTTCTCTCCTCTTTTTTCTCTTTCACTCTTCTTTCCTTTTTCTCTCTCACTCCTTCACTTTTTCTCTCCTTTCTTTCACTCTCCTTCCCTCTTACTTTCTCTCACTTTTTCTCTCCTTTCTTTCTCTTTTTCTCTTTCACTCTTCTTTCCTTTCTTTCTTTCTCTTTCACTCCCTTTCACTTTTTCTCTCCTTTCTCTTTCACTCTCCTTCCCTCTTTCTTTCTCTTTCTTTTTCTCTCCTTTCTCTTTCACTCTCCTTCCCTTTCTTTCTCTCTTTTTCTTTCTCTTTTTCTCTTTCACTCTTCTTTCCTTTCTTTCTCTCTTTCTCTTTCACTCCCTTTCACTTTTTCTCTCCTTTCTCTTTCACTCTCCTTCCCTCTTTCTTTCTCTCTCTTTCACTTTTTCTCTCCTCTTTCTCTTTTTCTCGTTCACTCTTCTTTCCTTTCTTTCTTTCTTTCTCTCCATCTCAGTAGCCGAGTTCAACGGAGTCCAACCCCGAGCCCCCGAAGCAGTCTACCCCTAAATTACCCCGCCCCTTCCAATATTCCCTTTGCCAGATCTCTCTCCGGGGACCAATCGAAGCTCACTTGCACAGAACATTCAGTCCTGTTGGAAGGCAGAACATTTCCTGGACCAGAAGAGTTAAGAAATTCCAGTCCAAAGCCCCCCCACCCCACCCCCCAGCTACTAAGGATGCTACTATGGTTGTAAGTGCGAGGACCGGTCGTAAGTCCCTTTCCAGAGTGGGGGGGACCAATTTAGCTAACCAACCATCCTTTTAAAGCTTCCTGTTCTAGGACCCAAAAGCTGTTTTTTCCCCCCACCCAAATCTGAATTTTTTATTTTTTAAAACAAAACTTTGGATTTTTTTCCCCCTCCCCAAGTTTCGAAGGAAAAGGGTTTTTTTTTTTCTTCTTTTGTTCTTGTTTTGCAGGATTTCTGGCTCTTCCTTGTCTTGCGGCCCGAAGGGCAAACACACAAGGCTGCTTTGTTTGCCAACTCTTTCTCCACGTTGTGCGTTTTTTGTGTGTCCACATCTGCAACTCATAGGGGATTTGGGGACCCTGCCAGGCTCTGTTGCAGGAGTGGGAGAAAAAGATCCGGGAATTTGAAATTTCATCAGTCCCCGTTTGCAAAATTAGGGGAAAGTTTAGGCCAGGAAACCAACATTAATTCCTCTCATTTTTTTTTAGTTTTTTTTTTTTGGCACGTCTTAAGCAGGGATTAGCAGGCTAATCAGGGGTTAATCGCGGCCAAATCGTGAAATCCGCGTGAGCCTGGCGATAGGGAAGCTTCCTTTTGTCTTTTTTGGGGTGGGGGTGGCTGGGAGATGCCCATTGGGCTCGTTCTGGTTTGCAAAAAGGGGGGGGGGCAGGATTGATCAGCCAAGGTTCCAAACAAACCACAGCTTGTGTCGATCCTGGGTTAGTTAGGATCCTGGTTGGGGAGGGTTCTTGTGGGGTACAAGGCCGGTTTGGGGGCATTTCCTTGGGGATGGGATGCAATTGAGGCTCTGGGCATCTCGAGGGGGGGGGGTCTCTTCTTGGGAGGGGGTACCAAGTTCCTCCCTCTCATTCCTTCCGTCTCTCTCCTTCCTTTTCTCCCTTCTTCTCTCCTCCCTCCTCATTCTACCTTTCTTTCTATATTCTCTCTCCCTTTCTCTTTCATTCTCATTCTTTCCCTTTCTTTTCTCCCTTCCTCTCTTTCTCTTTCTTTCCATCTTCTTTCTCCCTCATTCTCTCTCCCCTCCCTCCTCCCTTTCTCTCATTCTTTCATTCTCTCCTTTCTTTCCCTTTCTCCCTCATTCTTTTCCCTCCTGCCTTTCTCTCTCCGATTCTTTCCTTCTCATTCTTTCCCTCTTCCTCCCTCCCTTTTCTCATTCTCTCATTTTCTCTCCCCCTCCTTCTTTCATTCTTTCTCTTCTCTCCCTCATTCTCTCTCCCTTTTTCTCACCTCTTTCCCTTTCTTTCTCCTTTCGTCTCTCTTCCTTCCCTCCCTCTTTCTCTCCTCCTCTCCTTTTTCTCCCTTTTCTTTCTCCCTCCTGCCTTTTTCTCTCATCCTCCAATTCTTTTTCCTTCTTTCTCCTCCTTTTCCTCTTTCTCCCTCTTTTCTCATTCTCTTTCTCTTTCTTTCTTTCGCCTTTCCTCCCTCTTCCTTCCCTCCCTCTTTCTCTCCTTCTCTCCTTTTTCTCCCTCCTTTCCTTTCTCCCTCCTGCCTTTGTCTCTCATCCTCCAATTCTTTTCCTTCTTTCTCATCCTTTTCCTTTCTCCCTCTTTTCTCATTCTTCCTTTCTCCTTCCCTCCCTCTTTCTCTCCTTTCCTTTCTCTCCCTCCTGCCTTTGTCTCTCACTCTCCGATCCTTTTTCCTTCCTTCCTCCTCCTTTTCCTCTTCCTCCCTCCCTCCCTCTTTTCTCACGTCTTTCCTTCATTTTCCTCTCCCCCTCCTCCCTCCCTCCCTTCTTCTTTCGTTCTCACTTTCTCTCTCTCTCTCTCTTATTCCCTCTTCCCTCCTGCTAGGAGAGACTCTCCTCTCTGGAAACGAACGTGGGTTAAACTTTTGCGTGCCAAGCTTCCAAAGAACGGGTGGTGGGTGGTGGGTGGGTCGTTGTGCGTGGGACAGCCCCCCCCCCCGACCTCCTCCCCACCCCCACCCCCGTCTTTACACAATCCTCCCCTTTGCACAGAGGCGCACAGCCTTTGCGCGCTGCCGTGCGCGCACATCCCCGCAGGCGGGCGGTCCTTGCGTGCTTTGGGCTGAGCCCAGGGAGCGGGGGGGGGTCCCTCCTGCAGCCCCCATGGCGCTGGGGCTGGCGGTGCTGCTGCTGGGGCTGCTGGCACTGGGGCTACTGGGTTTACTGGGGCTGCTGGGCTCCCCCGCGCGGGCGGACGTGGCTTTCGTGGGCCGGGCGCTGGCGCTGGGCGGGCGGCTGGCGCTGCTGGAGCGGGGCAGCGTGGCGCAGCGCTGGGGGCGGCTGGCGGGGGCGTCGGGGGTCTCCGGCCGGCCCTTCCTGCGCTTCGAGGGCCGGAGCTTCAGCTACGGGCGGGCGGAGCGCGAGAGCAACCGGCTGGGCCAGGCGCTGCGGGCGGCGGGGCTGGGCGGGCGGACGGCGGCGCTGCTGGCCGGCAACGAGCCCTTCTTCGTCTGGGCCTGGATCGGGCTGGCCAAGCTGGGAGCCCGGCCGGCCTTCCTGGGCACCGCGCTGCGCCCCGCCGCCCTCCTCCACTGCCTGCGCGCCTGCCGGGCCCGCGCCCTCCTCGCCAGCCACGGTGAGAGCGGAGGATGATGGGCTGGGGAGTCCCTTCCAGGCGGGGGTGGGGGCTCTGAGGAGGGGGCTAGGATGATGGGCTTGCAGATTAGAGACCCGGGCATCCCTCCCACGCGTGACCCTGAGCAGGGGAGGCAGGGGAGGATGATGGGCTGGGGAGTCCCTTCCAGGCGGGGTGGGGGCTCTGAGGAGGAGGCTAGGATGATGGGCTTGCAGATTAGAGACCCGGGCATCCCTCCCACGCGTGACCCTGAGCAGAGGAGGATGATGGGCCGGGGAGTCCCTCCCATGCGGGGGTCTCGGCTGGGGAGGAGGGGGCTAGGATGATGGGCTTGCAGATTAGAGGCCGGGGCGTCCCTCCCACGCGTGACCCTGAGCAGGGGAGGATGATGGGCTGAGGAGTCCCTTCCAGGCGGGGGTGGGGGCTAGGAGGGGGCTAGGATGATGGGCTTGCAGATTAGAGGCCGGGGCATCCCTCCCACGCGTGACCCTGAGCAGGGGAGGCAGGGGAGGATGATGGGCTGGGGAGTCCCTTCCAGGGGGGAGGTCTAGGCAGGGGAGGATGGGACTACGATGATGGGCTTGCAGATTAGAGGCCGGGGCATCCCTCCCACGTGTGACCCTGAGCAGAGGAGCATGATGGGCTGGGGAGTCCCTTCCATGCAGGGGTGGGGGTTCTGAGGAGGGGGCTGGGATGATGGGCTTGCAGATTAGAGGCCGGGGCATCCCTCAGAGGAGCATGATGGGCTGGGGAGTCCCTTCCATGCGGGGGTGGGGGCTCTGAGCAGGGGAGGAGGGGGCTAGGATGATGGGCTTGCAGATTAGAGGCCGGGGTATTCCTCCCACCCTGAGCAGAGGAGGCAGGGGATGATGGGCCTGGGGATGAGAGGCCAGGGGCATGCCTCCCATGCCTCTGGAGGGAGGGAGGATGGGCCGGGGAGTCCCTCCCACGTGTGGCCCTGAGCAGAGGAGGATGAGGCTGGGGAAGATGGGCTGGGGCATTCCTTCCACATGTGGCCTTCAGCAGAGTAGGCAGGGGATGATGGGGCTGGGGGCATGGATCCCAAGGCTGGCATAGGGGAGGGGTGGAGAGAGAGGATGAGAGGCAGGGGATGATGGGACCGAGCCACCCCAACCTTTGTGCCAGGAGGCACTTCTGTCTTCCCCTTCCTGCTCTTTCTTCTTCCCCTCTCATCACAACAACCCTGCAAAGTAGACCAGGCTGAGGAGAAAGAACGAGAGACACTCCAAAGTCATCTCAGGAACTGAACTCCCCCCCCCCCCAATCTCCCATATCTTTGCAGAACTGTTCGGAGCCGTGGAGCCCATCCTCCCCAGCCTGAAGGAGATGGGCATTGGGGTCTGGGTGATGGGGAAGGGGCCCTATCCACCGGGCGTGATCAGCCTGGAGGATCTCCTGGAGGAAGCCTCCGAAGAGCCCCTGCCTTACGAGCTCTCCACTCCGCGACACCTGATGGACACCTGCCTGTACATCTTCACCTCCGGCACGACAGGTGAGGGGTGGGGCAGTTGGGAGGGGGGAGGCGGAGGTTTCTGGGGGGGGGGAGGGAGTCAGGGTGTGTGTGTGTGTGTGTGTGGAAGGCAGCAGGAAGTCTAAAGTCGCATCTTTTCGCAACAGTTGACATCGTTTCCTTGCTTTGCTTTGCTTTGCTACTTGAAGACCAAGTTGTGCATTGAATTCGTAACACAAATAAAATGTAGCAATCGGTGTTTTTAACAATGTGACACCCTTTTGTTCCTTGTCTTCCCTTTTCTTTCCTCCCTCCCTCCCTCCTTCTTCTTCTTTCCTTTCTTTCCCTCTTTTCCTTTTCTTTTTCCTTCCTTCTTTCCTTCCTTCCTTCCATCCCTTTCCTTTTTTCATTCCTTTTCCCTTTTCCCTTTCCCCCCTTTTCCCTTTCCTTTCCTTTTTCCCTCTCTTCTCCTTTCCTTTCCTTCCTTCCTTCCTTCCTCCCTCCTTCCCTTCCTTTCCCTTTCCTTCTTTCCTTTCCCTTCCTCCTTTCCTTTTCCCTTCCCTTCCCATATCCTCCCATCCCATCCGCTCCTCCTTTCCCTTCCCTTCCCTTCTTCTATCTTCCTTCCCTTCCCTTCTTCTATCTTCCTTTCCTTCCCTCCCTTCCCTTCCTTTCCTTTCCCTTCCCTTCTTCTATCTTCCTTTCCTTTCCTTTCCTTCTTTCCTTTCCTTTCCTTCCCTTCCCTTCTTCCTCCTATCTTCCTTCCCTTCCCTTCCCTTCCCTTCTTATATCTTCCTTTCCTTTCCTTTCCTCCCTTCCCTTCCTGTCTTCTCTCTTCCTTTCCTTCCCTTCCTCCCTGTTTCCTTCCTTCCTTCCTTCCTTCTCTCCAGGCCTCCCCAAGGCCGCCCGGGTCAGCCACCTTAAGACCATCCTCTGCCTGGGGTTTTACAAGCTGGTGGGGGCCTGCAGCTCGGACGTCATCTACCTGACCCTGCCTTTGTATCACATGTCTGGCAGCCTTTTGGGCATCCTGGGCTCGTTTGGGCTGGGTAGGTTCTATCTGAGCCATCAGGCCAGGCAGAGAAACCTCTTCCCTCCCTTGCTCTTTCTCACCTCAAGAATTCGGGGTAGATTGCTCTTGGCTTTGGAGGCTCCAGTGTTGCGGTCCTGCTTCCCAGCCGAGGGATTCCCTTTCCGTCACAAAGACGACCATCAATACCGCTAAGAGTTTAAGGAGCCGAACCTCCCTGGCAGCTGAGGGGGAAGAATGAAAAGAGGGCTTTCTAAGCCATGAGGACTAGAAACTTTGCTTAGCTTTCTTGGGAAAAGGGGGAAAAAAAACCCAGCTTGACGTTTCTTGCCAGGGGCCACCTGCGTGCTGAAGAAAAAATTCTCAGCCAGCCAGTTTTGGCCGGACTGTCGGACTCATGGGGTGACCGTCTTCCAATATATTGGGGAGCTTTGCCGCTACCTGGTCAACCAGCCACAGGTAAGTGCAGGAAAAAGGTGGGCCTGTACATGTCTCCCTCTGGTGGCCACCCCTGGTATTACGGCTGGGTATTTCTGCCATTTCCCCACCTTTATTATTATTTGAATAAAAGTGAATATTATTTATTCACCATTCATTCATTCATTCACTGTCATTCTGATTCACTTTTTCCTCCCTCCCTAAGCCACCAGTCAGATTTCTGCCTTAGTAACTTCCTGAATTAAAACCCCACCCCCCACCCCAATTTCTGTTTTAATTTCTGAATAAAGTTTTTTTTTAAAAAAATTTTTTTGATTTATATGCCGCCCTTCTCCGAAGACTCAGGGCGGCTTACAATGTGCTCAGCAATAGCCTTCATCCTTTTGTATATTTATACAAAGTCAGCTTATTGCCCCCACAAACTGGGTCCTCAATTTACCTACCTTAGAAAGGATGGAAGGCTGAGTCAACCTTGAGCCTTGGCGAGATTCGAACCCTGCAGTAATTGCAGGCAGCTGGTCTTAATAACCAGCTTAATAACAGGGTGCCTTAAACCCCTGTACTACCAAGTTGAGAAGCTAAGGCTGCTACAAAGCCGAAAGGGGCTTCTTTCATATTGTGGAGTGCCAGGTTGCTGAGCAAAACGGTGGATTCTAATTTATTTTTTCATCTTTTAAGATTTTATTGTAAGCCACTCCAGAGTCGCTTTGTATTGCGAGGCGGACAGTATATAAATTTAATAAATAAATAAACAGGCTGCTGTTGCTTTTCTTCTGCATTGTGCTGGGTGGGAGAGGCACCCCTTCCTCAGCATTGTCCCCCTCCCTTATAAAAAAAAAAAACCCTCCCGAGCCACCGGCAACCAAACCCAGAACAATCCCTGCCAACATTTGGCGACCGCAAAGGCGCCCTCTCCAGTCTTCCAAAACGGGATAATTTCCCAGCAAAGCAAAGCAATTTCCCTCTTCGTCGGTCATCCCCATTTCAAAATTGCAAAGAAGCTGGGCCCTGTTTTGTGCCACCGTGTTCCTTCTTCTTTCCCGCAGAGCCCAGCCGATCGGGAGCATTCCTTGCGCATGGCAGTGGGCAGCGGGATGCGGCCGGATGTTTGGCGCGAATTCCTCCGCCGATTCGGAAACATCAAAGTGGTGGAAACGTACGGCATGACTGAAGGGAACGCCACCCTCTTCAACTACACCAGCACTGTGGGGGCTGTGGGGCGCGGCTCCTGGATTTATAAGGTGGGCATCGCGACATTCCTGGAAAAGGGGGGGGGGCATGTTGGCAGATTCAGGCTATCCCTCAGAGTTGCCTTACCACTATCTGACTTATATCGTCATCTCCTTTTAACGACCCCATAATCCCTTGCATTGGGGTGGAGTCTGGGCAACTGAATGGAGCTGACTGTTTTACTGGCCGGATGCCTTTCCTGTCACCAGTGCGGAGTTATATTCAGCAGATATATTCTCAACGTGCCCAGAGAGAGAAATATCTGCCTCTACCTAGGATCAAACTCACAGCCTCCTAATGGTGAGGCAAGAGCTCCACCTCTAGGCCAATATTTGTGCACGGCGTTAGTAAAATGAAAGACCGCAAAGAGAAATCTCCCTTTTAAAATTGTGTCGTGAATTCTTTCACCCTTCAGTGCTTCAGTCCCTTCGAGTTGGTTTGTTTCGACGCTGTCCAAGGAGGTCCGCTAAGAGACGAGGCCACCGGCCGGTGCCAGCGCGTGGACATAGGTGACCGAGGGAGCTTTTTTTCGGGGGGGGGAGGGTGATATCTCCCATCACCCTTACTTTTCGCCTTGTTTTCTGGTGAGTTACAAGCAGTCCTTGGCTTAACAACTGCAATTGGGAGCAGAGTTCCCATGGCTTCGTCGCCTTGCTCCCAATTGCTAAACCGTTTAATATCGTAAAACCACTGGGAGTTACCTTGCGGGAAGATGGGCGTCCCAATAAATTTAACAATATTTTTTTATGAAAGGAACAGTTGTAAGTCAGGGACTGAACTCTGCGGTTTTTCTTCCCGCAGGGGAACCGGGACTCCTGATTTCTCCGGTGACGTCTCGTAACCCCTTCCTTGGATACGCAGGCGGACGTGAGCTGAGCGAGGCGAAGTTGCTACGCGGTGTCTTCGCCAACGGAGACATCTATTTTAACTCCGGGGACTTGATGGTGCAAGACGCCAAAGGGTTTATCAGCTTTTGGGACCGTACAGGAGACACCTACCGGTAGGCTGGTTTTCCGCTCGAGCTGGGTGCGAATCCTGTCTCTGGCTCCCCGAAAACAAGGCTGGGCAACTGCTCACTGCAGTCGAAGGTGTAGCAACACCTCGGAGCAATTACGATTAGAGGAGGGAGTGTGAATTTCCACTGCAGTCGGTTCTGCAGAGGATTCACAGGTAGCCTTACGATCTTACGACCACAGTTGGTAGTCCTTGACCTATGACCACAGTCGAGCCCAACATTGATGCTGCTAAGTGAGGCATGGCTTGTGAGTTTTGCCCCATTTTTACGACTTGTCTTGCTAAGTGAATCGTTGCAGCTGTTAGCACAGTGGTTAAGTGAGCCTGACTTCCCCGTCAACTTTGCTCGTCAGAAGGGTCACAAAGGGAGATTCCCCTGATCTCCGCAAACCGTCATAAATAATGAGTCAGTTGCCAAAGTGTTTGAATTTTGATCATACGATCTGTACTAGAATTGAGCTACTGAATTGGAAATTGGATGATTCAGGCTCTCTGGAAGACGGCTCAGGTTTCCCATGCTGGGCAGGGATGATGGGCTTTGCGATCTAGGGCCTAGGGAGGGCGATGATAGATAGATAGATAGATAGATAGATAGATAGATAGATAGATAGATAGATAGATAGATAGATAATAAAGAGAGAGAGAGAGAGATTTGAGAGAGATGATAGAGAGATAGATGATAAATAGAGAGATAGAGAGATAGAGATAGATAGATTTGAGAGAGATGATAGAGAGATAGATGATAGATAGGTAGATAGATAAGAGTAGAGAGATTATAGATAAATGATAGATGATAGAGATAGATAATGATAGAGATAATAGATGATAGAGAGATGATAGATAGAGTTGATAGATGATACAGAGATGATAGGTAGATAAATAATAGATGATAGAGATAGATAATGATAGATAGATAGATAGATAATAGAGAGATGATAGAGAAATAGAGATGATAGATTTGATAGATGATAGATGATAGAGAGATAGATGATAGGTAGATAGATAGATGAGAGATAGAGATAGATAGATGATAGATAGATGATAGAGAGATAGATGATAGGTAGGTAGATAGATAGATATATGTAAAAATATGCTGAAATATCCTTTCGATTCCTGCCTTGCATCATATTCCCCATTGGCCACACGAGGGCGCCCTTCCCTAAAGAAAACTTTCCCTGGAATTTAATGTGATTCAATTTTTTTTTAAAAAAAAAAATAGCCCCAAAGAAGACTTTCTATCCTTCAAAAAAAAAAAAAAAAAAAGTGGACCAAGCCCCAAACTTTCCATTTTTTAAAAAAAAAATTAAATCAATCAGCCAGGCAACACCAGCTGGCTTTTGACAGCCAAATACAATGTGAGAAAAACCTCAAAACCGCTCCAGTCCTTCCCGAACTCCGAGCCGATATTTTTTTTTCTTTTTCTTTTTTTTAATTTTGCAAATTCTTCACTCCTGGCTTTGCAAAAGAATCTTCTCCGATTTCCCACCGTTTTTGGTTTCTTCCCCCCCGTAGTTGGAAAGGCGAAAATGTGGCCACCACAGAAGTCGGGGAGACTCTGAACACGCTGGAGAGTTTGCGGGAGGTCATGGTTTACGGCGTGACGGTCCCAGGTAAGAGTTAGGAAAATCAGGAAAAAAAAAAAATATCTCCAACTTTCGGGCCCGTTCTTTCCAGTTCTGCAAAAAACTCAAATTTCTTGCATTCTTGGACGGAAAATGCTTGAATGGGGCAGCCGTGGCTAACTAACTATTATTATCAGGGGTGGGACTGAAAAATTTCAGCGACTGGTTTGCTGCCCGATTGCTGTGTGGGCGTGGCCATGGGGGCGTGGCCTACTCTGCCTCCTGCACCACTTGGGGGGGGTGTTTTTGCCCTCCCCAGGCTCTGGAGGCTTTCCTCAAGCCTCCAGGAGGGCAAAAACTGCCTTCCCCGGGCACCGGATGCCGGCAATGGGCCCGTTTCCAGACTTCCGTTACTTCCGGTAGGCCCGTTTCTTGCCCTCCCCAGGCTCCAGAGGCTTTTCTTGAGCCTCCAGGAGGGAGAAAATGGCTTCTCCCAGGCACTCGAGGCCCTCTGGAGGCCGGCAATGGGCTCATTTCTGGACTTCCGGTAGGCTTGTTGTCGGAAGGTTGCAAAAGGAGATCGTGTGATCCCGGGACGCTGCCACTGTCATAAATACGAGTCAGTGGCCAAGCGTGTGAATTTGGACCACGTGATGGTCGTAAGCGCGAAAACCACTCCTAAGTCCCCTTTTTTCAGTGCTGTTGTAACTTCGGTCACTAAACGAACGGTCGTAAGTCAAGGACTAGCTGCGTTCCCTTCTAGGACATGATGGCCGCGCAGGGATGGCCACCTTGGTGCTACAGCCGGACGCAAAATTCGACGGCCCTCAAATCTACCATCACGTGGCCGAGCTGCTTCCTCCGTATGCCTGGCCTCGCTTCCTGCGTCTCCAGGTAAGTCTTGGGTTCGAGTTCTCTCTCTCTGGTTTCACAACGGCCCTGCGAGGGAGGCCAACAACAACCCAGATCTGATTCACGATGGGCTGACTTTCTCCCGACTTTTCTCAGGAGCAGCTGGAAATGACGGAAACCTTCAAGCAGAAACGGTTCCGTCTCGTGGAGGAAGGATTTGATCCCGGTCGGGTCTCGGACCCCCTTTTCGTGCTGGACATTACCGCGAGGACCTACATCCCTCTAACTCCGGATGTCTGGACGAAGATTGCCGTGGGAGAGCTACGTTTGTAACGGACGCTGTCCGAGCACTGTGAAAAAACCCGACTCTGTGGCACCGGGCAATCCTAGTTGAGGGGGGGCTTAGTCATGCCCAAATCGCCCCCTTTTCCTCAGCCCGGTGCATTAGAGGTAGTCCTCGATTTACGACCACAACGGAGGCAGGAATTGAGGCCGTTTGCCAAGAAGGGCCACTGTACAAATCAAATATATTCCATTTCCATCGTACGACGCCTGTTCCATCGTAGGACTCTCTTCCCTTCCATAACAGAACTGATTTTACGACATTTTTCGTGGCTGTCGTTAAACGAACTCTGCGGTCATTAAGTGAGCCTTGTCCACAAAGGGTGTTTTGCGGAGGGCAGAAACCGGAATTTAAACCTCGGTTTCTAGTTTAAAAAAAAATAGGCAAATCGGGAGGCTGCCAATGGTTTTTAAGTGCGGTCCCTGGTGCAGAATGGGGGCGGTCGTAACTTTGAAACTGGATCGTAAGCTTAGGTCGTAAGTTGGGATGCCAAGCGTCGTAATTCGAGGTCTGCCCGTATTCCTTTCCTGAACCCTCTACCTCCATTCTCACACAACCAGGACGAAGTGTCTTCCGTTTTGTAACGCAACTGATTTTTACGATTTGGGGCTGGATTCTCCACTTTTTCTAATTTCTTTTTCTACGAGGTCTTTAAAATCGAAACGTCTTCCTTTTACGACTGACCCCCATCGCCCCCCCCCAACTCAGGACACAAACACCCTCTGGGCTGGGTGGATTTTCTCTCCGGAGGCTGGAATATGTATATACACCCATTTTAAAGGCTGGGAAAACTGATGCCCAAATAATAAGCTAAGAGGGTCTGTTTTAAAAAAATACTTTATTTTGGGGTGTTTTGATGGAATAAGAAAACTTTTCACAGGCTGGCTCTTGTTCTTGAGGGCGAGAAGGGGCTGGCTGGGGAATTCTGGGAGTTGAAGTCTCTTGAAGTTGTCCAGTTTAAGTTAACACTGTCCTAGATATTCACCTAAGTGCATTTAACTATTAAATGGTCAAATTAACCTGCTTGGGAAATTCTGTTTATTCCATTCTTTCGCCTTGCTTATTTTGTGTTTGTGTGTGGATGGATGGATGGATAAGATAGACAGATGATAGATAGAAGATATAGATAGATGGATAGAGAGAGAGATAGGATTGATAGATGATAAATAGAACAGATAAAGTAGAGATAGTAGATAGATAGATATAGATAGATTATAGATAGATATAGATAGATAAATAAATAGATATTAGAGAGGATAGATGATATAGAATAGATAGATAAATAGATTATAGATAGATAAATAAATAGATATTAGGATAGATGATAAATAGAATTAGATAGATGATAGATATAGATAGATGATAGATATAGATAGATAGATAAATAGATATTAGCAAGAATAGATGATAAATAGAATAGGATGGATGGATGGATGATAGAAGATAGATGGATAGATATAGAGAGGAGATAATGATAAATAGAATGGAATTAGATAGATGATAGATGATAGATATAGATAGATAAATAGATATTAGCAAGAATAGATGATAGAATAGGATGGATGGATGGATGGATGATAGAAGATAGATGGATATAGAGAGAGGAGATAGATGATAAATAGATAGATGATAGATGATAGATATAGATAGATAGATGATATAGAGAGATAGATAAATAGATATTAGCAAGAATAGATGATAAACAGAATAGGATGGATGGATGGATGATAGAAGATAGATGGATAGATATAGAGGAGATAGATGATAAATAGAATAGATAAAATAGAGATAGATAAGATACATGATAGATGGATAGAGATATAGATATTAGAGAGGATAGATGATAAATAGAATTAATAGATAGAGATATATAGATATCTCACATCATATTTTATTATTTTATTTTGCTATTTTCATTTTATTATTTGATGGAACAGCAATTCTGCCCAGCCAGTGCTTTTTAAAAAAAACAAATGGTGTAAAAGAACAGAGCAGCCGTTTATCATATATCACATCCTATTTTAAGGTTTTATTTTATTCCTTTTATTTTAGCTTAGTGTTTTATGGAACAGCCATTCTGCTGAATCTCTTTTTTAAAAAAGAGAAAATGCCAGAGAACGCAGAAATAATATGCATCGCGTTTTACGATTTTCTATCATTTTTATCGTTTTATTTTTACATTTTAATCTTGCTTTTATAGAACGGCAGTTCTACCAATGACCTCTCTTTTTAAAAAGAATTGCAAGGGAATGCAGAAGTAAGACAATAATAGGTTATATGTTATCCTTCTATTTATTATATTATTTTATATTGTGTTCCGTTTTATTTTTTTTATGGAATATCAATTCTGCAAAACGCCTTTTTTTTAAAAAAAAGAAAAAATGCAAGGATTGGCGAAAGACCCTCACTCAGTAAAAAAATTTGCTCCAAGACCCAGTTAATCAATTAATCGATTAGATGGATAAGGCCGCCTAATTCATAACAAGGGGACCTCAAAATTCCTCGACGGTCCGAGCCATTTTTTTCTCTAGTGGCCCAAGCTGATATTAAACTCGACTTTCGGGACGGATGTGGAAGAAAATCTGCGTTTCTGTCAATTCTGTGAGCTTCTTAAAATGCATATTTTGGAGGTTCCCTCGTTTTCCCGAAATCTTCCATACTCTTTCCAACATTCGAATATTGGAAGTCCTCGACTTACCTCAATGGAGCCCGAATTTTTAAGTCGCTAAGCGAGACAGTTCAGTGAGTTTGGATCCCTTTGACAAATCGTTCTTGCCAGTTGTTAGAGTCGCCGAGTTTTTAAGGTTAGTAAGATGGCCACTAAGCAAATCTGGCCTCCCCCCCCCAATGACTTGGCTTGTTAGCAGGTCGCAAAAGGGGGATTGCGTGAACCCGGCGACTGTCGTAAATACGAGTCAGGTGGCCAAGCGTCCGAATTTTGCTCACGTGACCAAAAGTCATGTAACTGTTAAGTTTGAAAAACCGTGACGGGTCACTTTTTTTTCAGCACCGTTGTAACTTTGAATGGTCAGTAAACGAACAATTTTAAGTCTTGTAGATTTTACAGTGGCTGTGAGAGGCAAGGAAGATCTGAAAGGATAGAGAAATTTATTCCCGCCGTCGAAACTTCCAAACCACCAGCGCAGCCACATCGAAATGTATAAACCATTCCTTTCTTTATTAAACATAGCTTGCAAGTGATAAATATTACAAAGTTTTTTTTTTAATCCTTTCTCCAAAAATTAGCTTATTATTATTATTATTATTTTAATCAGGTCACTGCATAATCAATTGGCAATATTTAAAACAACTTTTCTTTCTTTTTTTCGTTTAATCCTCTTTTCGTCGCCGTTTTTTTTTTATTTAAACCGGATCCAAAAACACAAGGCCCCAAAAAATTAAAAAATAAAAATGAAAAAATGAAATTAAAAACCCCCTCTTAAAATGGTGCAAAAGGACTGGTTTCCTGTTCTCTCGCCACCCTTTAGACCCCTAACCCAACATCTTCACCTTACGATTTGGATCCCTTCTGCCAAGTGGCTCTGACATTAAATTGGAAATGTGAGTTTGGGGAAGGGGTTCGTCTCAAAGCTCCTTCCACTCCCCCCCCGGACCCCAAAATAGATCCGACTTCTGCAACAGAAAGAGGCCAGTGGATAGGGGTTTCCAGCTGTGGGGCAAAGTTCCATGGATGGTCAGATGTTATCTCCAAGTTGGTAGCTTCCTTAGGACCTTCAAAGTTGGATGTTGATGTAGTGTTTCTTAACCTTGGCTGCTTTTAAGATGGATGGACCTCAACTCCCATAATTCCTCAACTCCTTTTAAGATGGGTAGACTTCAACTCCCATAATTCAACTCCTTTTAAGATGGGTAGACTTCAAATCCCAGAATTCCCCAATCTCTTTTAAGATGGGTGGACTTCAAATCCCAGAATTCCTCAATCTCTTTAAGATGGGTGGACTTCAACTCCTAGAATTCCCCAACCATTTAAAGATGGATGGACTTCAACTCCCAGAATTCCTCAATCTCTTTAAGATGGACTTCAACTCCTAGAATTCCTCAATCTCTTTAAGATGGACTTCAACTCCCAGAATTCCTCAATCTCTTTAAGATGGACTTCAACTCCCAGAATTCCTCAATCTCTTTTAAGATGGACTTCAACTCCCAGAATTCCTCAATCTCTTTAAGATGGACTTCAACTCCTAGAATTCCTCAATCTCTTTAAGATGGACTTCAACTCCCAGAATTCCTCAATCTCTTTAAGATGGGTGGACTTCAACCTCCAGAATTCTGGGACTTGGAAGTCCACCCATCTTACAAGTGGCCAAGGTCAAAACTCACGGACAGAAGAGGTGCAAACATCTCAAAGCATCTGGAGGGAGGAGGATCATTGGGCTATGATGGAGATGAAAAGGGATAAGTTGTTTGGCCAACATCAAAACCCAGTTGCGTCCCAAAGCGAAAGCATCTTTACCCAAAACAAAACAAAACAAAAAAAAAACACCAGTGCAAATTTACAGGGGAATTGTTCAGATCCGTGGTCGTACTTGCAGCCGCCCCAAGGACCCCCCCCTCGAACCTGGGGGGGGAAAATCTAGGGTGGGCTTAGGAGGGGCAGGCTTTGGGTTGGTGGGGGGGAGAGGATGTCCAGGGGTACAAGAAGATGAAAAGGCACCATTATGGGAACTGAGAGCCACCGAATCCATTTCAGCTTTTTGGGGGAGATGAAAAGGGGGTGCATGGGGTGGAGGGGAGCTGCCCAGCCCCCTCCTGCACCCCCTTTCCACAGGAAACCACCTTTTGACCATTTTAATGTCATACACAAAAAGAGTTTTCACACTACAAAAGGACATCGACAAACGTCACAATATCCATGGCTAAGCTGTTTTGTGGTTTTGATTTTTTTTTTCTCTATACAATGTACAACTTGCTTTGTTTTGTTTTCTCCCTCCCCTCTTTTCCTCCCCCCCTTTCTTTCTTTCTTTCTTTCTTCCTTTTTTTTTTTTCCATTTCTTGTCTCTGGTTTTTTTTTTTCCTTTTCTTTAATGTGTCAAGAAATAGCTTATATACAACAAAGAAGTCCTTGTTATAACGGGGTATTTTTTTGTGTGTGTGTTTTTTTTTCCCGGGCAGCAAGGTTACTGTTAAGCAAAGAGAAAATTTTCGTGGAGGGGAGGAGGGAAGGAAAATTAAGGAGGAGGGGCAGAGTAGCTTTTCCCCCCGACGGAACCGTTAACATACAAAATAAAATAAAATATAAACGAGGGAAATAAAACGAAAGCTCAGCATGATTCACAAAACCGGCTACAACTAAACAGTAAACTTCACCCACCCCACCCCAAAAAGAAAGAAACGGAAGCCAGCGTATTAATCTTTGAAATTAAAAAAGGTATTTTTTTTTTCTATATTACATTCCCCCAAAAATAGAAAGAGAAAGGGAGGGAGGGAGGAAGAGAGAGAGAGAGAGAAAGGGAACAGAAAAGAGCTTAGGTTTATGGGGGGAAAAAAAATAAATCAAATTTCGGAAGAGTGCTCAAAAGGAAGATAAATGGATGGGCAGGTCGATTTAAGATCCTGCCAGAAAATCGGTTTTCCGGATAGCAAAAGAGTCCCCCATCTAATTTTGGCTAATTTCTTGGCAGAAATTCAAACAGGTGCTTTTTTTGGAATTTTGTTTTGATACTTGAGCAAAAATTATTGCACGTTTCCTACATCACCGAAAGAAAGAAAGAAAGAAAGAAAGAAAGAAAGAAAAAAAAAGATTAAAAGAGAGGAAGGAATAGAGAAGGAACAAAGGAAGGAAGGAAGGGAAGGAAGGAATAGACAGGGGAAGGAAGGAAGGAAGGAAGAGGGAAGGAAGGAAGGAATAGACGGGAAGGGAGGAAGGAATAGACAAGGGAAAGAAGGAGAGGGAAGGAAGGAAGGAATAGACGGGACGGAAGGAAGGAAGAGGGAAGGAAGGAAGGAAGAGGGAAGGAAGGAAGGAATAGACGGGAAGGGAGGAAGGAATAGACAGGGGAAGGAAGGAAGGAAGAGGGAAGGAAGGATCAGCACAATATCCAAACCAAACTGAAACCCAAAATCTTAAAACTACATGACTCACATATGTTTGAGCCACAATAGGGATAGCCAAGAGAAGGAATATTAAAAATGGGAGTGCCTAAGGCGAGCCGGGGGTGGGGGGGAAGGGCTTAAAATCCCACGTTCGAAAGAGCAAGAGAATCAAATAAAACAAAACAAAATCATCACCGAGGCCTCTAAGGCTGCCTGTCGCAAAAGCTGGCTTTGCAGAGAATTGCACATTTGGGGGGGAAGGGGGGGGGTTGGGGAGAGAAAGGGGCAGGCGCGTTAGGCCGTCTCAGGTTCAGATGGCGGGACGTGTCCTGCTTTCCCGACCTCGTCCCGAGGAATTTTTTTAAGGAGCGCCGGAGGGGGCAAAATTCAGGTCTCGGTGTCTCTCCGGTGCATCCGCGCCAAGGGTCCTGCCGCCTCCCCGTGGATTCGTTAAGTGCTCGGAGGTTTGGAGGGGCGAAACGGAAGCGGGCAGCGGGCATCCCGGGAGCTTGCGGTCTTTTCCGAGAGGGACTGATCGCCAAGGTGACCTGAAGAACCCAGGGCTAATACTTTGGAGCCAAGAGGGGAAAGGTCGGGCCCCCGAGAGCGGGAGGGGTCCTCCCACGGTTCTGATCTCCGCATGGAAAATAGCAACTTCCAGGCCGGGCGACGTCGAGAAGGGGAAAAAAAAAAAAAGAAACAAGCAGAATCGCAAATACAACGGGGTGGAGGAATCGGCGAGCGGGAAGGGACTCCCTGCCTCTGGCATCTAACGGTCGGAGGGATGACGGTAACGGAACAGAGGCAAGGATTCAGGGTCCCTGCCTGGCCAGGAGCTCCTTCTGCTGGCCAGCAGCTTGCAGGATCAGCAAAAGGGACGCTAGATCTCTTTGATTGCCCAGAGTGATGTAGCCAACGCTCGAGGGGTGAGTCCAACGAATCTCCGGCACGCAGAAGTTTCATTTTCCTAGCATGGATGATTCCCAAAAAACCGCTTGGTGGTCTTCCCACCTCCAAAAATAGCCTTCTCGTGGACGTTTTGACCCCCAAACCAGAGTTTGGTTTCAGCTCCGGAGGAGGGGTGACCAAGATACTCCCCCACTCTTCACCGATACCGCCTTTTAAAGCCAGAATGGAAAAAAGCCATTTGGAGACTCGTGAGGAACCCTGTTTTTTCCAGGTGGTCTCCTTTTCTCCCTCCCGCAGAAGCAAAAAAAAAAAAAGCAAAAGGAAGGCGTAAAAAAAAAACGAGAAAAAAAGCAAGCCGTTAAAAATTCTACAGGTTTGCAATTACAGACGTTAAAAGCCGAACAAAAGGGGGAAAAGATAAGCGCGTAAAAACAAGCGTGTGAAAACACACAGGTATGGTGCGAGGGCTGTCCGAGCTGATGCGTTCTGACTTTGAGTGGGAAGTGGGAGGGGGAGCAGGAAGGGCTTGAGGGCTCCCACCGCCCCAAAACAAAATCCAGAGCGGGCGGAGTGGGTACAGGGGTGCCAGCGAGAACGGTTGCGAAGAGGGCGGGTTGCGCGAAAGTTTCTCGTCTTCATTTTTGCTTTGTTTTTCTTCCTTTTTCCCCCAATGTTTTCTGGGAGGGGGGTCCTGTCCCTCTGTGGTAGGCACCAGTACAGGCACTGCATGCGACGGACGAGGGGGGGGGGCGCAGATGGGGAGTCATGGGGAGGAGGAGGAGGAGGGGGGGCGGGGCTGGTGTTATTTTTGCCCGCTGATGGATTGCGATATCGAGCGCGGAGGAATCATATCGAGAAGATATTCTCGCTGCCGGTCCGCCAAGCTGGAACTTTTGTGGCCGCCCATCCCGGCATTCAGGTAGGCGATGTTGACTCCTCGAGGGAGAGAGAGAGAGAGAGAGAGAGGAGGGAAAAAAAAAAAAAGATAAGTCCATTTGATAAGTCCAGGTGAAAAGATACCTAACCATCTCAAGAATTTGTCTTTCTCAGAAGTGGGAGAAAAACCAAGGAAGACTTGGAAAAATTGCGGTTAAGTCTAGATAATCGGTCGATAAATCGAGCAGATGCTTTGAAGTGTTCCAGGATGGCGGAAGTGTCAAGAATGGGGGGAAAGGGGGGGGAGAGCGGCTAGCCTGCCCCTGCAGCTGGAGGTTCGAGTGTGGCCGTCACCAATACAGAAGGACCGGCTGGGTTTTCCCTTCCTTGGCCTCAAATATTTAGGGGCAAATCAGAGCTTCCAGAACCAGACATGAAAGTGGTAACTGAGAGACAAGGAGGAAACAGCTTAATGGAAGGAGTGGGGCAGGATCTTTAAATAAGACCCTGTCTTATATTTTTTTGAACCCCGAAATAAGCGCTTGTCCTTATTTTTGGGGAGATCTTATTATTTTGGGGCGCGTGGAGCAAGATGGGGCTCCTCTTGCCGTCTTATCTGATTTCCAGCTCTGCGTTTAAATATTTTTGGGGAGGGCTTATTTTCAGGGGGAGGCTTATTTTACCCAATGGGCTTATTATCAGGGGATGTCTTATTTTCGGGGAAACGGTTGTTTGTTTGTTTTTTAAAGTGCCCCCTAGAGATAGAAAATTAGCATTGTACGAGCGAAATTTCATTGTTTACAGAAATTGTAGATTTTTGTTTGAGAAACTCTGATTTCTGGGGGAGTGTGAGCGAGCTTCTCGTGCAGAGGTAGGCGTCACATAATGTAACCCCCGGTTCAGCCAGAACTGAAAATGTGAGCGCGCATGCACACACGGTGGCTTTGCTCACACGCACGGGGCATCGAACACACAGCGATTATATAGGACAGGATAGCGCCAGGGCAGGTGGCTGGTGGGAACTACCGGTTTTCCCGAACCGGTCTGAACCGGCAGCAGCCCTCCTCTCTTCTCATGGACACAAAAAGAGCAAGGATTCCTCCAGGCCTTCCTGAGTTTGGGACGTTCCCAGTCTGGTTGGCAGTGTGGAAGCTTCTGGTGCTAACATGGAACGCTGACACTGGTGTTTGAAATAACCATGGAACAAAAGCTGGGAAACAGTCCGGAGCGCAGACTGTTCTGTGTCTTTGGTACGATGGAAGGGTCTCCATCTAGCCTGAAGCGTCTCCTCCAGGCTGTCGCAGCAGAGAGGGGGGGTTCTTGGCTCTGTGGCTGAATTCCCACCCACCTCCTTCCAGCCCCAAGTCAATGGCCCCGTTACCTGGCATCCCGAGGAGACCGCTGGCGACGGGTAGCTGTGGCGCCTGTGCGAAGTTGGAGAGCATGGAGCGAGCGGAGGTGGGTAAACTACGTTGTAGGGAGCTTTGAGGCTGGGGGGGCTGGAGGGAAGGAAGGAAGGAAGGAGAGAAGGAAAGGTGTAGTTATGTTGGATGTCTTTATTGTGCTTAAAATGGTTTTTGGTTGTGTTAAACAGTTTTGGAATATTTAAATGCCCAGAGTTCTTGATTGAGATGGGGAAAGAAAGAAAGAAAGAAAGAAAGAAAGAAAGAAAGGAAGGAAGGAAGGAAGGAAGGAAGAAAGGAAGGAAGGAAGGAAGGAAGGAAGGAAGGAAGGAAGGAAGGAAGGAAGGAAAAAGAAGAAAGAAAAAAGAGAAAGGAAAGAAGGGGGAGAGAGAAAGAAGAAAGAAAAAGAAAGAAACAAAAGAGAAAGGAAAGAAGGAAGGGGGAGAGAGAAAGAAAGAAAGGAGAAAGGAAAGAAGGAAGGGTATTAAGAAGGAAGGGAGGAAGGAAGGAAAAAATAGAGAAGGAAGGTAGGAGGGAGGGGAGGGGAGGGAGGGAAGAAAGGAAAAGGAGGGAAGGAAAAGAAAGAGAAGGAAGAAAGAGAGGAGGGCAGGGAGGAGGGAAAGGTGGGAAGCCAAGAGTCGTTCTGGGACAGCCCTTAAACCAAATGCCCTTTTGACTGAAGGAACATCTGGGCCAAGGGAACTGGCACAGGGTGGCAGAGCCAGGCTGGGCCTTCCTCCCGGTGGGCAAAGGGGCTGGGCGGGCAGGGCCTCACCTGTCGGAGTGTGTGATGCCTCATGATGCTCTCCTGCTTGCTGACGCTGGCCACGCTGGCCGGAGCCGTGGTGGGCGAGAGGGTGGCCTGCTGTTGCAGCCGCTGCTCGATCTCCTGGGGGAAGGCGGGAGGGAGACCGTCGCAACCTGTGCAGTGAACCCCAGGCTGGGCCTGGCCCGGGGCACCCCGGTTCCCTCCCCAGCGGTACCCCTACCCCCCCTCACCCCGGTCCCTCGACCTGCCTGCTCCTGCTGCAAAGCTTTGACGAAGGCATTCTTCAGCCGGTTGGTGTGCTCGGCCTTCAGCGCCTTTTTCTGGTTGGAGGTCATGCACTGCTCGCACAAGATCTTCCCGTTCTTCTCCTGCTTCCAATGCGGGGTGAAGTCCGTGCGGCACTGGGCACAGACAAAGGGCTCCACTCGGAGGAGGGAGGCGCATCCTTTGCCTGGGGGTGGGGGGTGGGGTGGAGATTGGAAGGAGGAGAAGGGGAGGAGGGGAAGAGAGTAGCCCCAATTATCCAAGGAAAGCAATTAAACCAGGAATATTATTGTTATCCGGCCTTCGCTATTTTTTCAATTAATCACTCAAGGTGGCGAACATATCCGCTGCTCCTATCTCCTCCTATTTTCCCTACAAAAACAACCCTGCGAGGTGGGCTGGGCTGAGAGGGAAGGGACTGGCCCAAAGTCACCCAACCGGTTTTCCCGCCTAAGGCAGGACTAGAACTCAGTTCTCCTGCTTTCGAGCTTGGTGCCTTCATCACTAGACCAAACGAGGTTAAAGGTAAAGGTAAAGGTTCCCCTCGCACGTATGTGCTAGTTGTTCCTGACTCTAGGGGGGCGGTGCTCATCTCCGTTTCAAAGCCGAAGGGCCAGCGCTGTCCGAAGACGTCTCCGTGGTCATGTGGCCGGCATGACTCAACGCCAAAGGCGCACGGAAAACGCTGTTCCCTTCCCACCAAAGGCGGTCCCTATTTTTTCTACTTGCATTTTTTTACCTGCTTTCGAACTGCTAGGTTGGCAGAAGCTGGGACGAGGAACGGGAGCTCACCCCGTGGCGCGGCACTCGGGATTCGAACCGCCGAACTGCCGGCCTTTTCGATCGACAAGCTCAGCGTCTTAGCCACTGAGCCACCGCGTCCCTTAGACCAATCCAGCTTTAGAGAAATGCTAGCAGGGGGTCAACCCAGGGAAAAAACTGAGAGGACTGCTAGACTCCCCCCATACAAATGACCCCCTGGGGAACAAAACCTAAAATCTGGGCCTTTTCCTATTCATTTGGTTCATTGGGATCCCTCCTCCCATCCGACATCCTTTACCTTGGCTGTCGATGACACTCTGGACCACTTCTTCCAGTCCCACCATGTAGATGAACTCGCTGTTGGCCGCACTGGGCAGGAAGTGGAGCAAGGGGGCGGGAGGTTTGGGGGGCGGGATCTCCAACAGAGTCTTTTCCAGCTGCTTGCGCAGGGCGAGCTTGGCGGCGGCCTGGGAGTTGGCGGCGTCATTCATGGCGCTGGGACTGGGCAGGGGGGACGCCACCCTGTTCACCGTCCCGGGCTGGATGTGAGAGGCGAGGTTCATATAGATGGCGGAGGAGCTGGTTCGCTGGCAGGGCACTGCCGAAGAGGACGGCTAGGTGGGTGGGTCGGGGGGGGGAGAGAGAGAGACAAGACAGAGTTTCAAAGTCTGGCCCTATGTTAGGGGGTGCCAGATTTGCTTCTCCTTTGTGTTCCCATCCCTTTCTCTCTTCTCCTTTGTGTTCCCATCCCTTTCTCTCCTTTGTTGCTTCTATCCCTTTCTCTATTCTCCTTTGTGTTCCCATCCCTTTCTCTCTTCTTTGCTTCTATCCCTTTCTCTCTTCTCCTTTGTGTTCCCATCCCTTTCTCTCTTCTTTGCTTCTATCCCTTTCTCTCTTCTCCTTTGTGTTCCCATCCCTTTCTCTCTTCTTTGTTGCTTCTATCCCTTTCTCTTCTCCTTTGTGTTCCCATCCCTTTCTCTCTTCTTTGTTGCTTCTATCCCTTACTCTATTCTCCTTTGTGTTCCCATCCCTTTCTCTCTTCTTTGTTGCTTCTATCCCTTACTCTATTCTCCTTTGTGTTTCCATCCCTTTCTCTCCAAACGAGAAGGTTTCCCGTTACTCACCGGCTGGTAATTGATAGCAGGGCTCATGTTCGGCGTGCTGCTGCGGATCAGGCCTGGTTTGGAAGGGATGCGCTGTCCTTGAAGCTGGGTGGGGTTGGGGGCAATGACGCGCTGGGATATAAGCATGTGGGGAAGTGCGGTGTTGGTGGCCGATCGGATGACACTGTGACCCTGTCCCAAGAAGCAAGAGAAAGGTTTTAAGAGCCGGGTGGTTATCGCTGGGATAGTTTTCTGATCTCCCGCTCCAAGTCAGCGATGCCAAGAGCTGCCAATCCCATTTGCTTGTTGTGACGGCCATTTTTCGCGGGTGGATTCACGTCTTGGGAGGAGGGGGGGTGACGGTCCCTTACCTGTAATGTTCTGAGGTTTTGGGGCTCAACCCCTTGAACTCCAGGTCGGGAGGGAAGTTTGGACAGAGCCTGCTGTCCGACGTGGGCAGGAGATGGCTGGACTATAGACGCTGCGTTCTGGACAACCGGAGTCTGGCCGAGGGCGGAAAGAAAAGAGGACGAGGAGAAAAAAAAAATGAGAAAGTCTATGGATTAAAAAGAAAGGGGAATGTTTCTTGGAGAATCTTCAAGAAAATCGAAATTTTTCTTGATCGGCTCGTGGGGGACGGGGACGAAACGGGTGATCTTACCCACCTGGCCGGGGAGCCTGGCAAGAGGGGGGAAAGTAGAGTTAGGTGTTTTTCAACTAAACCGGGACTCTCCAAACTTTAAGACTGGTGGAATTCAACTCCCAGAATGGGGAATACTGGGAGTTGAAGTCCACCGGGCTTCTCCGCGTCCTCTTCCGGAGGCGTTGACGGGAGGGGAGGTCTGACAGACCGGCGCTAGCCGCCTCACCTTCTGTACCACGTTCTCCTTCTGCAGCTGGCTTTGCCGTAGTTTCTTCAACAGCACCAGCCGGGCTTCCTCTAACCGCAACTCGTCCCGCAACTGTTTGATGAGCTGCTGCCTCTCCTCAACCCCTTTCCCCTGCGGAAAGGAGACCAAGAGGTGAGGATGGAGGGTGACCTTCCTGCGGGGCTGGCGGCCCTCGGTGGAGAGGGATTGCCGGTCAGGGCACACAGCCTCCCCCTTTTAAGAGGCTGATTTGGCCTGGGAACCCGACCCGACCCAGGGAAGCGTCTTGGGCAAGCCGCGACCCTCCGTGCGCTCTTGCGAAATCCACTCATCGTGTTTTTCGGTCCCTTGCTGTACCTTGAACATTTCCAGATTGGCTGCCTTCAGACGCTCTTCCATGCGGGAGCTGGAGCGAGGGCTGGAGGCTTCGTTGTCGGAGAGGACGATGACGTCCGGAGAAGGGGTGAGCCGCCCCCTGTCTTGATCGCTGCTGCTTTCAGAAAAGGGGGAAGAAAAGCCAGATTGAGTGAGGGGCCGGGTTTTTTGGGGACGACGACGAAGACGACAACTGGGGGACAAAAGAAGCTACCTGAAGGAAGTTGTCTGTTACACAGCTGGACCCACTTAAGGAGAAAGGTTATCGGAGCAGGTAAAGGGGTGGATGTGGAAAGTGACCACATAGATTTGCAGATGTTTCATGACCCAATTAGGTAACAGCATCAGTGCTAGAAGGGAGGTGGAGTTTGCAGAGAGGAGGAGGAGGAGGAGGAGGAGGAAGACTGTGGGATCCTTGGTGTTGAGTTTGGTGGTTTACTTGTAGATGTTTCATGACCCAACTAGGTAACAGCATCAGTGCTAGAAGGGAGGTGGAGTTTGCAGAGAGGAGGAGGAGGAGGAGGAAGAGGAGGATTGTGGGCTCCTTGGTGTTAAGCTGGGTGGTTTCCCTGCAGACGTTCCATGACCCAACTAGGTAACATCATGAGTGTTATACATTTTCCAAGGTCTGACCGCATTCAAACCCCTCCACCTCCCACCCACCCAGCGGCGTTTTCACCCACACCGGTGGACGTTGTACGGCCGTATGTTGGAACGAGCAGAAAACTGCCTTTCAGAGTAAATAAAACCAAGTCTTGGAAAAGTCTCCCAGCCTCTCACCAGCCATCTAATGCCGGTTGCCGGCTTTTTATAGCGTTTCCCGAGCTCCTATTTTCCGCCTCATCCCTGCTCGGATCCTGGCTGGGATACTCAATTACATAAAAGCCACGTGAACAAACAGTCTGAGCTCTGCCTGCCCACCCACCCACCCACCCACCCAACAGACTACGAGTCACCAAAGGGTTTTTCAATCCCTCTTTCTGGAGTTTATTTTGCAAAAGCTGGGACTTTTAAGCGGTGGAGGCCTTGGTCTGCTCTAGCCAAGTCCTGGAACTCAGTCTGGGTCCTTCTAAGTGCAAGTACCAAAAAAAGAAAAGAAAAGAAAAGAAAAGAAAAGAAAAGAAAAGAAAAGAGGTTGAGACTTTGGAAAAAGTGCAGAGAAGAGCAACTAAAACGATCAAAGGCCTGGAGATTAAAATATAGGAAAAACGGCTGCAGGATTTGGGTTTGGCTAGTCTAGAGAAAAGAAGAATTAGGGAGAGGGACATAAGAACAGTATTCCAGTGTTTGAGGGGCTGCCCCAAGGAAGAAGGGGTCAAATTATACTCCAAAGCCCCCGAGGTCAGGACAAGAAACAACGGTTGGAAACTAATCAAGGAGAGAAGCAACCTGGAAGGAAGGAGAAACTTCCTAAGGGTGAGGACAATTAGCCAGCGGAACAGCTTGCCACTAGAAGTAGTGGGTGCTCCATCGCTGGAAGTTTTTAAGAAGAGACTAGACAGCCCCGTTTCAAATGGTATACGTTCTCCTGCTTGAGCACGGGGCTGGACTAGAAGACCTCCAAGGTCCCTTCCACCTCTGTTATTCTTCTTTTATTCTGCCCGAATAAAAGACCTCCGAAGTCCAACCCAGTTCTGTTCTGATGCGACAGTAGACAAGGGTTAAGGTGAAAATAAGTTCTCGCGAAGGGGACTGGTGGAGAAGGGGAGAATTCTCGGCCAAATGCCCCCGAGAGAGTCAGAATGCCGGCGGATACCTGAATTCCATGGTCATTTCGGCCAGGTGCGCTCCTCCAGAGGAAGCGTTCCGCAGAGACTAAGCCAAATTGAGACCTGGAAGGAAATCAATGGACAACAGAGGCGGACGGTCCCTTCCTGTTGCTTGGAGACGGAGGATGCAACCCGGTGGTTGCATTATGACATCACACAGAGGGGAGGGTCACAGGCCACCCAGGCAAGGGGGTTTTGTGGGCCAAAGGGACCCCCCCGATCCACAAAGACCGGAGCTGAGAGGGTTGGAAAGGGTCCTCTTCTCACAACTCCCTCCAACTTTAGAGGATTCTATTCCCTAGAGGGAAGAGGGGGGATGAGTCGGTCAGTAAACGGCCCAGCCTATCTCAAGAAGAGCTGGGAGGAAGGGGGTGGCAATACTGAACTTCGCAGACCTTCCCCGGAAGGAATTCTAGCTGCCCGGGATGCTTGGTTGAACCCAGAGATCTTAGCTTCTTCGCCATAACCAGGATCTACTGTCCTTCATGGTATGTGAGAAAGACCTTGAGAGACACAGGGCGAAGCTGGCTAGGAACAGTCAGATAAGGGACGGCAGAGCCCAGAGCTGTATAAGGGGTGGAGAAAAGAAGACTCAGAAGGGACCCTCCCAAGCTTCTGAAGCTGTAAAGGAGAGGGTGGGAGAATTGTACTATCAAGACTTGCAAGGTTCTGTTGATGTAGCCTTACAATGAAGTAGAATTAGATCATTTCCTGTCTGGTTTACTCGGAAGGGTGGCGTAGGTGGCTCAGAGGTGAAGACACTGAGCTTGGCTGGAAAGTTGGCAGCCCAAGGTTCGAGACCCGAGCGCCATGTGATGGGGTGAGCTCCCGTCCTTGCCGCAGCTCTTGCCAAACTAGCCGTTCGAAAGCATGAAGAGGCGAGTAGGTAAATAGGTACCCACTTCGGCGGGAAGCGAACAGCGGTGCGTGAAGTCGGGCTTGGCCACACAACCGCGGAAGTCTCTTCAGATGTCGCTGGCTCAATGGCGTTTAAACCGCGCCCCCCCCCGAATCGGCAACTACTGGAGTGGTGGCTCAGTGGCTAAGATGCTGAGATTGTCGATCGAAAGGTCGGCAGTTCAGCAGTTCGAATCCCGACTGTCGTGTAACGGGGTGAGCTCCCGTTCCTTGTCCCAGCTTCTGCCAACCTAGCAGTTCGAAAGCACGTAAAAAAATGCAAGTAGAAAAATAGGGACCCCCTTTGGTGGGAAGGGAACAGCGTTCCGTGCGCCTCTGGTGTTTAGTCATGCCAGCCACATGACCACGGAGACGTCTTCAGACAGCGCTGGCTCTTCGGCTTTGAAATGTAGATGAGCTAGAGTCGGGAATGACTAGCACGTATGTGCGAGGGGAATCTTTTCCTTTTACTACCTGGGAAGGCTGAGAATGCAAGGTGGAAAAATCTACACATTCCCCCCTTCATGACGTCCAACTCGATTCCTAGTTTTGGTCAAGTCTCATCCCATAACGCTCAACCCCTTCCCCTCAACTCTGCCCCCTCCTCACCCAAAAGGACCCTATCTGCTGATTTGATAAAGAGCTTATAGGTTTCCCGGACGCGCAGCTGAGCCGAAAGCACCTTCTGTTCAAGGTCAAGGAAAGAGAGAGGATGACCAACCAGCAGAGGCGGTAGGGCAGATGGCGAGCAGACGAGCCTGGATCGTCACCAGCAACCAAGCAAGATCCGAGGTGGTTCTGCCTTGGAGACACTCCTTGCCCGCCTACGGCTGACAACTTGTCCCTTCGCCACCGAAACGCATGAGTGAGTCAGGAATTCGCAGCTGACGACCGGGATCCTGCTAAACCTTGGTCTGATGGATGCCTCTGCCACCCCCTGCATCGCGGGCTCGTAGCACGGGTTCTCTAGACCCCACCTCCGAGGCTGAAAGTAGTACGTGTTATGGACCCCTGACCCTTTTCTCCTCCGCCTCCTCCTCCTCTTCTCTGTTGGGACCAGCGTTCGGGAGAAGATTAGAAGCTGGAAGAGTTGGAATCCTTCCAAAATAACGACGATAATATCGAGTTCGGGAACAGATGCTTTCAGAAGCAAGTTATCTAAGGGAGAACTAAGGCGTGATATCGTGGCATAAAATAATCTTTGTAAACTACAGATAATTTTGTCATTTTTACGGGGCAAAATGTTTGCGGGATTTTCTGGGAGGAGGCGAAATTTGCAGGAAACGTGGATCAGGAAGGACAATTTTGTTTCCTTTCCCCCCTCCCCTTTTAATGAGGGGGGGAGGCATTTCAGCTCTTCTCCGCTTCCACTCGCCTCGCTTATTAAAGCCAATTTAATTAATTTTAACACATTAACATAATTCTATTAAAGGAGGTCAGGAAAGGGCTTCGTCTGAGGCGTTTTCACGTGTTCCATCATTTCGTGGGAGACAGTCATGATTAAGAAGTGCGGGAATAAGGGACTTTTTAGGATGCCACAATGCTTTCGAACCATAAGCTGGCTAACCCTGGTTTAAGAGAATTAAAACTATAGGCAACTCATAAGGTTTCTATTCCCCCGTTTTACTTCCCCGTGTAATACTGCTAAGATCTAATAAATGAGAATTCCCACCCGCCCCCCCTTCAAATCAGTGTTTCCCAACCTTAACAACGTGAAGATATGTGGAATTCTGGGAGTTGAAGTCAACATATCTTCGAGTCGCTAAAGTTGAGAAACATTACTCAAGACTTTCTAGACTTCAAGTTTCGCACTGGCCAAGATGGCATTGTTTGTTGACTTCTCCTGAATCCTGAGGCATTCTGGGAGATGAGTCCTTCTTAAACTGGACTCCCAAACCAGCAACTGATTCTGGTTTCCAATCTCACAATTCTGAAGACCGCTTTGACCTATCAGGTAATACCTATCAAAATAGACATGAAGGAGAACGCCATGGTGGCCCCAACTGATCTTCTCCTGAACTTGGGACACTCAACGTTCACCACCAAAAGTCTTCCAATTGATCTAAATTAATATGCACCGCACCTCCAGGCTAGCCGTGGGGAGAAAGAGAAGTGAGAGGTTCCCTACCTTCTTCTCGCACTCATGTCCACTGGTTCGTCGTTGATGTTCTCCTTGCCGGATCTCCCGGAAGACCGTCCGTCGGCGTGGGGTCTCAGGTTTCCGTTCAGCTTTTCCTCGTAGACTTTCAGTCCATCCTGCTTGACGGGCAGCTCATGGGGCACCTCGATGCCCGCCAGGTCTTTCCTTTTGAGCAATGCCAACATCTTGAGGCGCTCCATGGCCTCGTGGCCCTCCATCTTCAGCCTCTTGGCCAAGACATCGTCCCGCTCTTCGGCTTGGTCCAGGGTCCGCTTCAAGCGGTTGAGACGCAGAGTATCCTCGCTCATGCGGTCCATCCTGCCAGGGGGGAAAGGAGAAGGGAAAGAATGAGAAACCACCATCTAATGAAGTGGCCGAGTCGGGCAATCGAACATCTCAAGAAGAAGAGCCAGCTAAGAAAACACCAAGAACCCCCTACGTTCAACCCTGAACGTCCATCGTTCAAAGCCATCCATCACTCAGTGGTTGACCGTAGGGACCAATATCTACTGTCCTAGCATCCAAGCTAGCTTGGCCTTGGAAACAGTCCACCGATTGGACAAATGCTCCATCATTCTTCCTACAGTACATTTTGGTATTGGTCTGACCTAGGCTTCCCAAGAGCATGAAGCAGACTCGTTGTCCCGACAAAAAACACTTTTATTAAGTTACTGTGAATTCCTCTCATTCGTATCCAGCAAAGTCTTTCAAGGGAGAATTTACAGCCACAGACCTTATCTGGCTTGGAGAGCTGCCAGGCCGATATCTTCAAAACTTGGCAAGGAGTCTCGGAGAGTCACCAACCAATTAAGCGAACTAATTGTCTCCTGCAAACTCCCCTCCCCTTTCGCTCCTCTTTATTCCCTATGGGAGGGGCCATTCATCATCCACCTGTGGCTTTACTCCTGAGTCGCCCCTTGTTCTTTAGCTGTTCTCTTCTCCTGGCAGCTCTGGGAACAGGCTCCAGCTGTTCTTCTCCCTCACTGATGTCTGACTCCGAAGGCAGCTGACAACTGTCAGACGGCCCTGGCCCCCGCTCTGCCTCCGACGCAGAGCCCTCGTCAGAGCCTTCCCCAGACTCCAGGACTGGCCCAGGTTCCTCCCCAACCTCCTCACTGTCTGAGTCACTGCTGAGGGCAGTTCCTGGACCAGGTCTGCTGTTTCAGTAGCAAGACTTGGAGAACAGGTCCAAGCTTGGAGAGCTTCATGGAGAGATGTTACTGAGACCCAGCCAGCGTGAAGCTATAGCTGGGTTTGCCTCCTCTATGGGCTGTGAGAAAAAGCAGGATTTCAAATATCCCCTCTTCTAACGAAGGAAGTCGGATCAGCCCCCCCAAGCCAGCTTTCTGATATGGTCCTGGAGGTGAATCTTCCCCCCCTAATCTGGGAAAGGCTCCGGATGAGAAAGCCTTTTGGAATTAAGCAAGTTAAGACATGCTCAGGAGGAGATGTGCAAAATTATATGTGTGCCTTTAATTCTTTTCTTTCTTTCTTTCCTTTCTTTCTCCCCTTCTTTCCTTTCTCTTTTCTTTCTTTCTCTCCCCTTCCTTCTTTCTTTTCTCTTTCCTTTCTTCTTTTTTCTTTTTCTTTCTTCTTTCTCTCTCCCCCTTCCTTTTTTTCTTTTCCCTTTCTTTTTCTCTCTCCCTTCCTTCTTTCCTTTCTTCTTTTTCTCTTCCTCTTCCTTCTTTCCTTTCTCCTTTCTTTCTCTCTCCCCTTCCTTCTTTCCTTTCTCCTTTCTTTTTTCTCTCTCTACCCCTTCCTTCTTTCCTTTCTTCTTTCTCTCTCCCCCTTCCTTCTTTCCTTTCTCCTTTCTCTCTCTACCCCTTCCTTCTTTCCTTTCCTTTCTCTTTCCTTTCTTTCTTTTCTCTCCCCTTCCTTCTTTCCTTTCTTCTTTCTCTCTCCCCCTTCTTTTTCCTTTCTTTCTCTCTCTCTCCCTTCCTTCTTTCCTTTCTCTTTCCTTTCTTCTTTCTCTCTCCCCTTTCCTTTCTTTCTTTCCTTCCTTCTTTCTTTCCTTCCCTCCCTCCCTTCAGAAATAATGGGTGCTCCAACACTGGAGGATTTTAAGAAGAAACTAGACAGCCACTTATCTGCAATGGTACAGGTTCTCCTGCTTAAGCAAGTAGGCTGGACTAGAAGACCTCCAAGGTCCTACTCTACTCTACTCTACTCTACTCTACTCTACTCTACTCTACTCTACTCTACTCTACTCTACTCTACTCTACTCTACTCTCACTCTCACTCTCACTCTCACTCTCACTCACTCTCACTCTCACTCTCATTCTTCCTTCCGCATTCGGTCCTAGTTAATTTCAACGTAGATATTATTTTTACAACCATTTTTTTTTTTAAAAAAGGCATCTTAAAATAAATTGCAACTTCTAAAAAGTGAAGCTTCCGTTTTCATTTCCTGACTTTTTTAAGGAAAACATACGGGACTAGAAAACAGCTGGATCCCCCAAACTCTCCCAAATCTGCAGGTTGAAAGTCACGAATTAGAATTTGCCAACGTCATTGATTCAATCAAGCTAAGTTAAACAAACTTGAAGCAGATCCGGTTATTTGCTGGACATCAAAATCTAACCCTCAAACCAATTGGGAGCGTTTATCCTGATTAATTTAAGAGTTTTCTTTAAAACCCACTACCCAAAATATATTTAGATGAGAGCACCAAAGATTTAGCCTCTCAATCTGCAAATGAAATCCATCTTAACCTCCAGGAAAGGAAGCCGGGGAAACCATGGTCAAGAGTTTAATTAACCATGATAAGAATTTAAGTAAGAATCAAGTTGATAATAAACTCATTCTGGTTTATTCTTCTGGAGTTAAAAAGTACATCCTAGCTGGGGATAATAGGAGCCACAAAACAGCTTGTGCAGTAGTCCTCAATTTATGGTCATTCACTCAGTGACTGTTCAAGCTTACGACGGAGCCAGAAAAGTCCAGTTTTCACACTTAGGACTGGACCCCGCACTTATGACCAATTATACCATGCCCCGACTAGCTGGGGAATTTCTGGGAGTTGAAGTCCATCAGTCTTAAAAGTTGCCAAGATTGGACAACCCTGATTTACAGGGGGTAACAATACAGGTAGTCCTCGACTTACGACAGTTTCATTTAGTGACCATTCAAAGTCACAACAGCACGGGAAAAAAGGGACTTGGAGAAGTTTTTAGTTACGACCTCTGCAGCATCCCCATGACTGTGTGATCAAAATCCAGTCTCCCTTAACAACAGAAAGGTTGGGTTCCACTGTCGTCGTAAGTCGAGGACTATCTACATTCCTGAAAAATAAGAAATAGCCTTCCCCCCCCCCACTTCCTTTTTGCGTGAACTCAATTTTGAAAAGAAACTGGGATGTTTTTCTAAGAATGGAGCAAAGGAGTGAGAATTGGCCCGTGATGGGAAAAAAAAAAAAATCCTCAGAGATCCATTTAGATCCCTCTCCGCTTATCCCGGGAATCACCCCGATGTGGCTTTGCCGGGGCCATTTCTCCAGCGACAACCACAAAAACGCAGGCGACAAAAGCCAACAGGGAATTATTTTTTTTTTTCTTTTCGGCGAGAAAAGCGGGCAGTCTAAAGCGATTTAAATCTGCTTTTCCGGGAGCCACACCGTGTTTTGAATCCAAGGATAAAAAAAAAAAAAAACCATCCTCTTTGGCTGGCTTTTTTAAAGAAGGAAAATGGGGTTCTCCCCCACTCCCACGTGGCAAGGAGCGAATTGCATGTTTTTTTGGGGGGGGGGGCGAGGGGAGGGAGGCAAAGCGGCAGGCTTGGTTGGGGGTCAGAGCTGAAGAAGCTCCTTGGAGGAGAAGCGAAACGTCTTCAAAGAAAGAAAAAAAAAAGCAGAAAGTCCAGTTGCCTCTTAAAGAAAAGAAAGAAAAGAAAAGAAAAGAAAAGAAAAGAAAAGAAAAGAAAAGAAAAGAAAAGAAAAGAAAAGAAAAGAAAAGAAAAGAAAAGAAAAGAAAAAGCACATTTGAGACAACCAGGATTTGAATGATGGAGAATCTCCAGAGACATTTAATTATCGGATGGTTTTTCTCCCATCACCCTCCTTTTCAGTTCGCCCTTTGGGGGTTTTGGGGAGGGGCTGCCCCTTTCTCTCTCTCTGACTCCCCTCCTCTCTCTCTAGCCCCCTGCCAGCCTGCATCTCTCTCTCTCCCCCCCTTTTTCGCTCTCTCTCTCTCCCTTTCTCTCTCTTCTTTTCTTTCTTTCTCTCTTTTTCTTTCTCCCTTTCTTTCTCTCCCTCTTTTCTTTCTCCTTCTTTTCCTTTCTCTCTCTCCCTTTCTTTCTCTCCCTTTCTGTCTCCCCTCCTCTCTTTAGCCCCCTGCTCGCCTGCCTCTCTCTCCTTCTCTCTCTTTTCGTTCTCTCTCACTCTCTCTTTTTCTTTCTCTCCCTTTCTGTCTCCCCTCCTCTCTTTAGCCCCCTGCTCGCCTGCCTATCTCTCTCCCTTTCTCTTTCTTTTCGTTCTCTCTTTTTCTTTCTCTCTCCCTTTTTCTTTTTTTCTCTCTCTTTCTCTCTCTTTTCTTTCTCTCTCGCCCTCTTTTTCTCTTTCTCTCTCCCTTTCTTTCCCCTTCCCTTTTCTCTCTCTCTCTTTCTCTCTCTCTTTTCTTTCTCTCCCTCTCTTTTTCTTTCTCTCTTTTCTTTCTCTCTCCTTTTCTCTCTCTCTCTCTTTTTCTCTTTCTCTCTCCCTTTCTGTCTCCCCTCCCCTCTCTCTTTATCCCCCTCCTCGCCTGCATCTTTCTCTTTCTCTCTCTCTCTCTCTCTCTCTTTCTCTCTTCCCAACTTCTCGGCGCGTGGCTAAAAGCGGAAAAGCGGCGTGTGTGCCGGGAAAAAGATGCATTTCGAGACACAACGCACAAAATGGCTGTCTCCCAAGGCGCCCAGCCGTTTCCATACAATGCTATAAAAAGGACAATTTCCTAAAAAGGAAAACCGGGAACTGACAGCCAGCAGGTTACGGAGGGCGGGCAGGGGGTCTAGAGAGAGAGAGAGAGAGAGAGGAAGGGGGGGGGAGAGAGAGGGGGGGGGGAGGGAAATGCCAGCAGATTAAATCAATCAGCCCCTTGGATCCAGTCCAGATCCCTGGTTTGTCCTTCTGGACGGACTCTCTCCCTCGTCGCGACCCTTGCGCGACTCGCACACAATGCCGGGCCAAGGCTCCTTAAGGCTGGGGATGGGGGGGGGGAAGCAAAGGTGGATAGAGAGAGAAGGGGGGGGAAAGGCAGGGAGAACCTGCCTTCTCCACAGCCAAAGACGGAAACCCCCTCCCCAAAATGCACCTCGCTTGCTTTCGAGGGGGGTCCGTGATCCCCCCC